TAATAATAATAATAATTCAATATGGGCAATTTGGAAATTGTATAAAAGAATTAAGGGCAAAAAGGTCATATACTTGGTCAACATAAAAGGGCTTTTAAGTTAAAAAAAAAAAAGCTCCCCCCCCCTAGCTTTTAGCTTTTGGCTTAAAATAAGTCATTTTTGACTTAAAATAAGTCATTTTGATAATTGCCAAACACTCTAATAAGTCAAAAACTGGCTTTTAAGCCAGTTTGACCAGCTTATAAGCCCATCCAAACAGGCTCTTAGTCTATAGGGTGTTATGCTGTGCCATTTTGTCATTTTTGCAGATGTTCATGCAAAGTTGGCAGGCCATATAAAACGGGCTAAGCCCATACTTTCTTTGCTGGACTTTTTTTGTCAACATTAGCAATAAGGAAAAACTACAATATACTTTGCTACCATATATATTATTATTATTATACTTTTAAAAAAAAGTATCCTCTACTTAGATGCATGTATTTTTGCTATCAGATACACAAAAATAGGAAGAGAGCGAGCGAGATTGGGGAGGAAGGCGAGCAAGTTTCATATGTATCCAAGTACATGTGAATCACACTATATACATGTATTTGTATGTAACCAGAGTGATTCACATATATCTGGAAACCAGCTACATGAGAGAGTGACGAGAGATCGAGATGAGAGGGAGGCAATCGATATTTGCTATGTAAACTAAATACATGCAAATCCACTTGAATACAATGTATCAAAAACAAATTACATCTTTTGACCTCATTTATCCGAGATACATATATCAGGACGTATATGGAGGCATAAAAATCTGATAAGATACGTAATATTACAAATTATAGTGTGTCTAAGTAATTATCTCCTTCTCAATAAATATATTTTTTTAAAAAAACATGATGGCCATTTTTTGGACCGATAATTGAAAAATAACTAAATTTTAATGCAAAAATAAAATTTGAAAAAAAATATAGATACTTAAAACACGAAAATCCAACATAATATATTGGATTTTGAGACTTTTGCATGTAAAATTCTAGCATAGTGGAGTTCAACGACTCCTTGTATGTGAATTTCAAGAAGGAGTTTAAACTTTTAGAAGTTAAATTCTCGAATATTATACTGAAAATCCAATAAATAAATATAAGAACACAAACAAAATATGACTTATCATGATTTTTCATCCAAGAAAAATAAAGGATCCAAAATATAATTTTATTTTAAACAAATGGAAATCAATTATATACCACAATTTATAATTTTAATCAGCTCACCAATATATGATGTAATATGCATGATTGCTAGTTTAATTTCACAAGAATTGATATTTATTTATTTAAAGAAGAAATTGGAAATCCAATATGTCATCTGCCTCCATTTTCTTAATGCATTATGTCATTTCCTTTTGTTCCTCCCTCTAATTTTCAACAAGATATCTCGTATTCGAGTTCTAGGAATAAATTAACACCACCACTTAATTTAAACAAATTAATAACAACAACTATTACAGATTTCAATATGAATAATTGTGGTGGGAGCATTAAGATTTTTCTATCCTTAAAAGAGGTATCGAGTTCAAATTCTGAAAATGAAAAAAAAACTTATTAAGAGAGTCACCCTATAAACGAGCCCTATAATGCTTGAATGTGAATACGATATTATATCTGATGTGAAAATAGAAAGCGATTTTCCATAAATCAATAAAAAGAAGAAAAATCCTATAATCTAATTGGTTAGACTGCTTATTTTCGGGTTTTCATGAGCAAAGCATCTTTTGACATATTGGTGATATATTGGGACCTACAAATTTCATTATTTTCTCTAATTCCCCTAAGCAAAAATGTATAAAAACCCATTAAAAACAACACCAAGAAACCCTCCGATCATTTTGTACTCTCCTTTTCCATCTCACCCCTTCACACGTGCCACTATACGTATCACCTCGCACAATAATAAAGTCAGAAAATTCGTTAAAAATATTTAAATTTTAGTATGAATATAAAATAATATTTAACCTATATAATCCATAAATTTCTCGACAAAAGATGTTTCTTTTGTTTCTCATCCGGTGTTCGGTACCAACATTGGAGTTCGAATAAAGCGCTCTCTAATAAAGGCGACTTCGCACTCAGTGAAACTCGAAATCGAACTCGAGACCTCTATATAAGAATAAAGAAATACTTACTTCTCCATCGCAATCACGATTGATCAGTAAAAAATGTTTAACTGACCACTTTTTACTATACGTAACTACGCCACACTACTCACACGTGCCACTACTCACACCATATCTCTCCATCTCTTTTTTCTTTTCTTTATATCCTAGTGGTCTCATATAGTCCTCTCTTATGTTGTGTGGTGCAACAAATAAAAGTTAGTGAGAGAAAAAACCCCAACTTTAAGAGAGAGAAACAAATTCTCAAACACAAAATTCTTCACAAATATTTCTTTCAAGATCAACCTTTTGAAATATAAATTATTATTTTTTTGGTATTTATACCCAAAAAAAATACACATAGTAGAAAATTATTTAGTTAATTTCTTCCCTTTTTTTTTCCTTTTTTTTTGGTTTGTAATAATGAGAATAAGGAAACGTTTTCCTCCTCCGTCAGATCCCCAACTAAACACCAAAAATGAATCTCTACCGTCTGATCTTCCAAATCTGAGTCTTCCACAGCCGTCTGATCAACCGGCGACCGTCACCGGAGCTAAAACAACCACCAGCTGGGTTCTCTTTGGTGGCAACAACAATAATCCACCAAAAATAGAACAAAAGGTTAGTTTTAAATTTAATTAATAAATAGTTCGACTTGCAAAAATTTTGCTATTATTATTACCATACTTTTTGTTTGCATCCATGATACAACGACTGTAAAGTAATATATTCAGTGTAATTTTATAAATAGAGTCTGTATGAAATGTATGCAGACTTTATTTCTACTTTTATGAATGTAGTAGGATTGTTTCTGATAGACGATCGACTAGAGAAAAGAATATGTATAGTTTTGCATCAATGATGTATAGTAGTATTATATTTTTTTAATTTTTTGGTGCTAATTTTTGTGATTTAATTTGATTTTGTAGGATGTGGAAGATGAAGATGGGAAATTATGGAGAGAGAAAAAAGAGATTATTGATAGTAATATTGACAATGATCACAAGTAAGAATAATATTAATGCATAAAAAGAATTGTTCCATTTAATTCTTATTTTTTTTCATGAAAAAGAAAAGGTGAATGATAATAATAGAAGAAATTAAACAAGAAATGATAATAATACTGTAACTAGAAAAATACTGTTTGGTTTTTATTCTCATCCAATGATTTAATTCCTCATCTCATCTTAATTATTTTTATTTTTTTCATATTTTTTTTTGTTTTAATTTATAATGGTCCCCATTTATATATTTTTTTTAAACATATCACACGGGAAAATTCTGAATGTTGCACTGTGCACCCTTTTTATTTTTTATTTTTTATATTATATAGTTTGGGAATTAACAAACTATTTTTTTGTTTTTGTTCTTCTTGTTGTTGCTTCTTCAGGAAAGAATTAAGCTTTTTGAGTACCACACAAATAGGTTCTTTGATTCATCAACCATCATCATCTTCTGATCTAGGTAAGTTGCTCCGACTTTTCAAAAAGATTATATGTTGCTGAGATTCTTCAAAAACATATTGCATGTTGGATCTTTTAAAAATAGTTTATTTTTGAAGGTTACACTGGTGCAACGATATTTTTGAAGATTTCAACAACATAGCTAAAATCAAGACTCATATATCCCAACATCCCATGTAGTTAATTGCTCCGACTCTTCAAAGTATATTACGTGTTGGGTCCTTTAAAAATAGTGTATTTTTTAAGATTTCGACATAGGTGCAATAATATTTTTGGAGATTCTAGCAACATAGCTAAAATCAAGACTCATATATCCCAATATCCAATGACGTTGCTCTGACTCTTAAAAAAATATTGTGTGTTAGGTCCTCCAAAAATAGTACTATATTTTTTAAAATGTTTTTGATACGGGTGCAATGATATTTTTGAAGATTCTAGCAACATAGCTAAAAACAAGACTCATATATCCAGAATTCTATGTTGATTAGTTGACTCTCCAAAAATATTGTCATGTATGATCGAGCCCTCCAAAAGTACTACCAAGATGTTAAGATATTCGGGCTTCTACTCAGTAGAGTCATTCATTAATGATTTGAGATCGTGATTTTTCGAAGGAAGTATAACAATATTTTTAGAGAGTCTAGCAACATAAACAAAATTGAGATTCATATATATACAATATATTGTAGTATATTTTTAATTTTATCATATGCTATGATATTGAACGTGTACATGCACATATATAATAGATGGTAGATGGTGTGAAGAAGATCATAAGGTAATTCCATTGAAAAAGAGATCAAGAGACAACTATCACCACCATCACCACCACGACAGAAGTAATATTAACACTATGAAATCGAAGACAAACAAGAAATGTCCACAAGAAAATGGTAACGAGGGGGAGCAAGAACACGAGGAACATTATCAACGAATTAATAGTGATCATAAAGTTGAGCACGTAAACAAGAAGAACAAAAGAGGAAGTGTTATATTAGAGGGATCAAGGTGTAGTCGTGTTAATGGGAGAGGATGGAGATGTTGTCAACAAACCCTTGTGGGATATTCATTGTGTGAACATCATTTGGGTAAAGGAAGACTTAGAAGCATGAATAGTACTACAGTTCGAAACTCGATGAATAATAAGAAAAAGAAGAAGAAAGTAGAAGAAAAGGATAAGGAATCGTACGCGTTGATAAATGATCATGAATATTATGATATTGATGATGATAATAATGATGATGAAGATGACAAGAAAAAGACGAAGAACAAGAAGATGAAGAAGCTTGGAATGGTGAAAGCTAGATCTTTGAGTAGTCTACTCGGTCAAACGGACAATGCAGTTGCAATGATGATAGTTGATAATGATAATAAAAATGAGTAACAAATTATGAAGATGTAGATCGGATATTATTTCATGTACTTTATAGATGTTATGGCTACCGTTCGTGTCAGATCTTTCAAAATGTTATGCTTATGCAATTATATATGTTAAGGGTTCAACATGCATGAGTGCATGTGACATTTATATTATTATTGCCACGATATTGTTCTATGGAAGCAGGCGGTTTAGAAGTTCGGCCCGGTTTTTTGGTGTCGTAGGGAGGGATTGACCTTTCTAACGCATATTCAGTCGTACCGGCATGGCCCACTGATTGTTTCGATCGGAGCATCAAGCAGCGCAACCCGGTTCTAACTTGACTAAACCCGTGCTCCTCCAAGGAGAGAGTTTGCATATGTTAAGGGTTCAACATGCATGAGTGCATGTGACATTTATATTATTATTGAAGAATTCGAGTAACATAGCTAGTTGGAATTAGTTTTTTTTTTTGGTCCAAGATGTAGCTAAGACAGTTTGCTCATATAATATGTTTCTTTAATTGCATGAATTTTGTTCATTTGCTTTTTATTTAATTTAATTTGCTGATCACCTTTTAATTTATTTTCTATACTCTTTTTGGAGCTATTCTTGAGTTTAGCTTTATGCTGGCAACAAGTTAGCCACCACATTTGTGATTCCTTATTGTTATTAAAATAATAATTCTAATTAATACTAACACACAATAATAACAATAACTTTATTGTATTTTATCATCAATAAAGGAAAGAAATGTGCAGATAGTTAGTTGCTCACATGTGATGAATATTTTTTATACTATCGTCAATTTGATTTGTGGAAAAATTATATTCCAGTTCTCAAGTTAATTCTTGAAGTAACTCTATTATATTGTATATATCTTTTGATATTTCAAATTCAATGATGGAAATGAATTTCGAATAAGTAAGAGATAAATGGTTAAAAATACAAACTATTTTTTTTTTTCAAGTTCCACATTTCAATTACCAGTTGTATTTTCTTTTCCTATATGAACTATCATAGTCTATAAATCTATATATGTATTAAAACACATCTTCTTGAGTAGATCGATGGTGAAAGTTTATGCAGGAAACGACCAATAGTAGGGCTAATCAGCTTTGAAGTGTGTTTTCATACATAGATAGTGATAGTTCAAGTAGAAGAATAACATTACTGATAGTTAAAGTATGAAATTCGCCAAAAAAAATAGTTTTAGATGTATTTATAAAAGATTTAATTTAACCTCCATATGGACAACTAAAAACATCTGTTTTATTCCATAATATTTGTCATCATATTATAAAAAAAAATAAAAAATGTGCATGTGTTTTCTCAATTTAAAAACTTAAAACACTTTTTTTTTGTCTCCACCTGCCTTGGAAGGAAATGAAGATGAGGGTTTTCATCTTATTTTAAACAATATATTAGTATCTCTTTTGTAATGACCTAGCTACTAGTTAATGGCAAATGGCATATTCAAGCTTAGTCAAACATTTTGACTTTTTAGAACCTTGATCGTCAAATCGACTTATATTGATATCTCTCTTCATCTACGTGGTCTAAGAATTTAATTTTGCTATACGTCCGAATCTTCTTCTATCGATAGTTAGAAGCAGAACTGAAACTGGATATAACTGAAGGAAAGGCTATATAGGTACAATAGGAGGGTGCAGTTAAGCAGGTAAATGAAGACTCTCTATATATAGACCTAGCTAGTCCAGCTATATCTAATTATACTTTGTTATACTAGGTCGACTTAAAAAAATAGTGTGTACATTATATTACGTAGATATTTTGAGAGATTACTCTAAGTATATATTGTTGTTGTTGGTTTGGAAAGTGGACTTATCAAAGATTAAAAGGACAAACAGATGCATGGGACAACTAGTAAATAAAACTAAATAGAGAAAATAACAAAAGTTAACATTCATATTCTTCATCCCCAATTTTTATTATACCAATGATTTGTAGATTTTTCGAGACAATTAATTAATTACGATCCTTTATAGTTTCACGCATAATAGTGCATTTGTAACTAATTGTAAGTCGACACAAACCATGTCCAAATAATTTTAAGTTGCATTTTCTCACATTTTGTTTTCAAAATGTACTACTTGCATCTTCTAGCAAATATGATCATTTTCTTACTTTGAAGTAAGCCTATGAGTTAACTTCAAAGCTTAGTAGCTAAAGTGTACGTACTTGGGTGTAAGGGGTACACATATTTAAGCTACTTAGTGGAATTAGACCATTCAACTTGCCATCTACACTCTCCTAAGGTGTGATCGTAATATATTCATGACTATACATATATTCATTTTTCTCTACGTACTTGAGCCGCCCAACAACAATCACTATCGTATAACATTAATTGTCCTTATAAAATACATAAAAAAAAATTACTAAGTTCCTAAAAATAAGACATGATGTTATATAAAGTTAAAATGTCTAGCTAGCTGTTTTCATGCTGCAAAGCAACCAAATAATAATATTATTTGCTTTGTGGATAGCAGTTAATTAAGATGATGGCATCCAATAGGATTCCAACTACAATACAAGGAAGGATCTATATATCTATTGGAAGTCTGAAAATAAGGACCCCATATATATATAATATCAAAACAAAAAAGTGGTAAAATAATGGGGTCACAATATATAATTAACTATGAGATAAGCTTAGCTTGCATGAATTGATGACTTATCACACATATGTGAGCAAAGAATTGTTTTCCAAAATGGGACCTTTATTTTTGTTGGCCTTTCATATCCCCCACCTACCCATTCATTCACATGCTAACTAGATAGTGAAATAAATATATAGTTTGATTATATTTTAATTTTTTTAAATGACAAGTATTTTGGGTTAAATATTTTTAATAATCATGACAAGATCGATCCAAAAGAAAAGAGGAAAGGAGATTACAACTTACAAGTAGGTGTGGAGCTAGACTTCGAGTGTCGATTCGTTCGATTTCAGTAACTTTTGCTTAAATAGTGTATTTGAAGAAGTTTAAAAATTTCAATTATTTAACTTGAAGTTGATCGTTATAAAATTTAAAAGTCATAAAATTAAAATTTTAACTTCGCCTCTGATCATCAAATACTACATTGTTTTGGTTCTAATTAAGGAAAACTTCTTAAGAAATCTAATAGAGAGTGGGATAATATGTGTTTAGTGATTGTAACCCAAATAGGGAATACATAATTAATTAGTGAAGAATGAAGTCCTCTCACAACAAATACAAATTAATATAACACGTTGAAAATCAATTGATACTTTTTCATTTTACACAGAAATTTGCCATCATTACTTTTCGAATATACATAAGATAAACTTTATATAAGTACAATTAGTATAATAGTCCATAAATTATGAAAGAGAGATAAATTACATTAGATAAGTCTCATGCGACGAGTTCGATCGAAAAAATATTGAGACGTTTCATTCGAATTAAAATTGAAATCTCTCATTTGAAAGATCACCTGCTCAACTGACTCGATCACTCTTACATATAATAAATACATACTTTTTAGTATATGATATATTATACTTCTTTAAGTCCTAATATAAACACCCAATACGAAGAAAAAGAAAAAAAACTTGACCAAACCGACTATCAGTTGCACCTACAAATCTGAGTTGTGATTCTATCGATATTACTGTATATAGTATATATTTATATAAATTAAAAAAAAATGAATATAATATATCCCGGTTTACAATAATTGAATTATTAGAAAAGGGGAAAAAATAATAATTTAGTTGATCAGAAAATTTTCACTATATCGGAATTGAAATTTAATTTCACCAATAGTTTTGGGGGCACATAAATCAAAGTCTGCTTCGATCAACGCAAAACCATAGAGGTAAAAAAATCTGATTTTTGTTTCAATTTTCATTGATTTTCATTCGATTCCTTCAAAATTTCAACTTTAATTCTTGTTTTTTTCGATATTGCTCGTTTTTATTGACCTAAGATCCATTTTTGAGCTGAAAATGACCCGTTTATGAAGAACCCAGAAAAAACACCGACATTCTTAGGTGTGCATAGATTTTTTTGACTATTTTTACTTATTTGGGTTTGTTATCTGCTTATGGGTAGGTGTTGTTAGAGGTCGAGGTAGATCGAGGAAGAATTGAGGAGATGTAATTAGATAGGACGTGATATGTTTAGCTTACCGAGGATATGATCTAGATAGGAGAGTATGATGGTTGAAGATTAGGGTAGGTGTAGTTAGATAGGTTTGAAGAGAGGTCGAGGTTGATTGAGGAGAGGTAATTAGACAGGACGTGATATGTTTAGCTTACCGAGGATATGATCTAGATAGGAGAGTATGATGGTTGAAGATTAGGGTAGGTGTAGTTAGATAGGTTTGAAGAGAGGTCGAGGTTGATTGAGGAGAGGTAATTAGACAGGACGTGATATGTTTAGCTTACCGAGGATATGATTTTAGATAGGAGAGTATGATGGTAGAAGATTAGGGTAGGTGTAGTTAGATAGGTTTGAAGAGAGGTCGAGGTTGATTGAGGAGAGGTAATTAGACAGGACGTGATATGTTTAGCTTACCGAGGATATGATTTTAGATAGGAGAGTATGATGGTAGAAGATTAGGGTAGGTGTAGTTAGATAGGTTTGAAGAGACGTAGATTGAGGAGAGGTAATTAGATAGGATGTGATATGTTTAGCTTACCGAGGATATAATTCTAGATAGGAGAGTGTGGAGGTCGAAGATCAGGGTAGATGATTAGTAGGTAGTAGAGTGTTTTCTCTCTTCAGAGTGGTAAGAGTAGGGTTCTAGTGTGGAGCATCTATTTGTTCCTTTTATCAGTATTATTACTATTATGCAAGCATTATCTTATGCTTTGATTTTATTTAGTGTTGTTGTTTCTTTTACTTTGATTATCTTTAGTACTTGTCATGTCAGTGCTTTTACTCTCGCATTTTTCTCCAAATGATTTTCTTGAACCAAGAGTTTATCGGAAATAGCTTCTCAACCTCAAAAAGGTAGGGGTAAAATTTGTGTACATCCACTCTCCCTAGACTCCACTTGTGGGAATATACTAGGGTGTTGTTATTGTTGTGGTTTGTTTATACTAGTTTTAGTTTCAGACTACCACTGGGGAATGTTGTTGATAGATTCAATTGGCATTTTGATTTGATGCTTATTGGATTTTAAAGTGTGAACTGATTTTTCTTTTCCTCTAATTCTGTCTTAACATTTTAAGCCGCACGATAGTGAGTGCTAAAGTTCCTGAGTTCGTTTATTGCACAGACAGTGATGGATGATCCATTTTCTGTGGAATTTTACGATATTTGTTACAGTATGTTGTCTAAATTTAAGTTAATAAAGACAATTTTTTTAACATCCTATATTTCTTCAAACTTGATTTGCAATTGAATTATTTTCATTGTCACAAAGTAGAGCCGTTTTTCCTTGGTGACGAGTTGAAGTAGCAAAAGTAAAATAGATAACTCTTTTAGAAAGGAGAAAGAAGGACCTTTTAAGTACTATGAGAGTTATAGGTGAATG